GTGGCACATAAATAGATCTGTTGTAAAATAAGCAATAAAGGAACTTTTTTCAAGGAAGTTTGTAATGCAGAAAGGTTTGCAGTCATGACACCTGAGAGGAATGCCACTAGTGGAACAGTTCACCTACATCTGCTGTGTTTACAATTTTTATTTTTCCTGTGGTGTGATGGCTGATTAGGATGACAATTTGACTCCGTGAGTGTTTCACCTCTGGGCAATAGTCCTAACCAGAACCAAGCAATGGATAAAATCTAATGTCTGCTATTAATGAAATTGTTCTGCAGGGAATAATGCCTATTAACATAAGCAGTGTAAACTAGTGATTACAAAGTACCAAATTCTGCACGACTGGAGTGTAACTGGGACACTGTGTCCGTGTTACATGTGAAACCTTACAATCATTGGCATGATGCTATACTTCTTTGCAACTAATGGTTGTTAGTAACTATTGTGTCCATTAACTTTAATATTTGTACTCCTTCTTGCTTTTACCTTTGTTCAAGACTGCCTGCAAAAAGGAAACAATTCTGAAAGTATGCACCCCAAAACTTTGTGTGACTTCAAAAGTCACTTTCAGTGACTTGCCACTAATCTCTCCCAGACTGGCACTTTTGTCATTAAGTTTGATTTTCCATAATACCAGGTTTATTTCCTTGATACCTAGGTGCACTGGTTTGAATTGTATCATGTGAAATTTGTGGATATTGATAGATTACTGGGAAAGTTGTTTGGTGTCCCAGTTACGTGAGAACGTTGATGCTTCTGTCATAATTGCCCCGTAACTTGAGAAGTAACTTCAACGGGTGGATGATTTTTGTGTTTTATCAAATTTCAGATGTTAGGCAACACTATTAACTGGAATGAAATAAACTTGTTTTGAAATTTTGACACCTGTGTTCCATTTTGGACCCCTTATTTATAGAAAAACCCATATGTTGATGAGACCACCATCAAACTGTGAATTTATGAATGCCAGACCTACAAAGAGTCCTCAGACGTAGAGGATTTCTTTTTGTGTGCAGGTTTGTTCAAATTGTTTGACAACGAGAACTCTATAAATATTTTACAGGCAAAGAAATTCCTGAGTGTCCCCGTCCCTTCATTCTGACCCCTGAGGTCAATCATGGCATCTTATTTCATCCTGTATGTAATGCTCTTTGCTATTCTTCTCTCTCTTCTTCACCATCACGTACATAATGTCTCCCTGCTGACCCCGATGACTCAGCGGAATGGGGTTTAGAGATTAATTGACTTCTTCTACACAAGTTACATGTAGTTCAGCAGAGTGACTTTGCTTTCTACACTGGTGAGCGTGCTCTTTCTGTGCTTGAGAAAATATGTGAACTGAATACTGTCGATCTGAAATGTGTTGATATAGTACATCTTCCAGGCAATAGAAAGCACATATGGTTAAAGTTGAAAGCAGCAACAAAAGGCAGTAGACAGAACAAAAAATTGTTACCAATTTGGGAAGAGCAGAACTACAACTTGAAATTGGGTGGGGCAAAAAGGAAGGCCCATCAGGAGCTCCAGAATGAGCGTTAAAAAAGAAAACTTACTGAAGAGGAAGCAAAAAAATGCTACAGCTCTGTCACAAAACTTGAAGAAAAACTGTAAATCATGTACTAAGAAGAAGATGCCGGCCCACAAGAAGTGTTAAACAAAGAGAAAAATACAGAACACAGTGGATCTCTAAGAAAAAAAGAAACCAAACAAAGGGCAGATTTTATTTGTAATTTGATGCGTAGTGAAGATTTTGAACCACTTCACATAGAGTACAAGGTCCACTATGGTAATGTGACAAGTTGCCATTTTGAGGGCAATGTCACAGATCATGCTCCACCAAGTGTAGAGGATACTGTTTATCTCAAGTAGTTACTTGAGTAATAGTTGAGGGAAATGTTGCGACAAGAAATCCAAATTGTGTTTTGTAATTCGTGGAAGACAGTGTCTAGTACAAGTATTGAGAGGTGTGACAAATTTCTCCTTGTGATGCTATGGAAGAAGAGCCAGATGAAATACATGTACATTGACAAAGGTATGCTGATGTGTTTTTGGTACCTTGTGGAGAATATTATGTATTATCAAAAATTGACATTTCTACATTGAATCCAACAGTGGAAATTTCAATAATTTGAACCCTGGTTTCATTTGGACTGATAAATCACAATGCAAACCATTTTAAAATTCTAGATCCAGCTGCCAATTGACAGGTTTTGCAGGAAGAAAAATGCAAATGAACTGTACGTCGACCTCAGGGATGTTACAAGCATCATCATGGATATCATCTGAACAAGACTGTTTATAGTAAGATCAGGAAAAACTAGTTTCAAAATAGTGCACAAGGAGATTGAACAAAACTCAGCTTCAATAAGAAAACTGGGGTAGAAATGAGGAATTATGAGGAATGAGAAATGATGCTGGTGCACCAATATTTGTCAACAACCAGCATTTCCTAGCTTTTTACAACACTTGAGCAGTGTTGGAGGACTCGAGTCCTGATTTTCAAGGACTTGGACTTGAACTCAGACTTGGACAGACTCAGATTCAAACAATGAAGGATTCGGTCACCAAAAGGACTCGGTCCAAATCCAGGCAATTTCTGGTCCTGCCATATTTTGGTTCTAAATTCAACATGTACTGCATGCAATGCTAACACTAACGACTGTGCATACTGTACATACATGAAGGTACATGTATGTGTGATCATAGTGCAAACTAGTTTTGCAAAACAAATCGGAAAATGTGATGTGCAGACGTAATACACATACATACATGTACAGGTGTTAATGTACATGTACATGTTTATTGTATATTAACATGAATAGCACACAGTGCCAATGCAGCTGGTTCACAAACTCGGACTGGCTCCCGCCATGTAGCATACATATACTTTCAACATCACAGCAGAAAAAAAGTTCAGAAGTGTGCAATGTACCAGATCATGGAGACTTTCTTGCTGGGCTGGCAACTTCACTCCATTCTTTTAGCAAAACATACATGTAGTTAATCTTAAACGCTGAACTTGGTCATTTATACACCCTACAACCATTGGCATAAATCTGTCTTGGCTGTGTGAGAATTACGTTAGAAACTATTGCAAAAAATGTATGAAAAAGTCCGTTACAGTATTAGGCTGAGGTGCACGCTTATGTATGTATGTCATGTACATGTGCACTGCCTTCTGGATTGTGTCTGAAACCAAGCTTCCAAAGTTTGAGCTCTTGCTCCAGCTATTGTCAGCGTGCCCATGTACATTTCAAATACATGTACATGTATGTGTGCAGGCCTAGACCTTGTCAAAGCTTTTCGATCATCCTGCAGCACATGCACAGATTGTTGGCTTGCAAAGTGTGTTTTGCCTGCAGAGTCAATGATCAATCATGTCAGCATTGTTCCAAGTGATTAATGAAGCTTTGATTTACCAATTACCAAGAGTATTGATGCCTCAAAGCCGTCAAAAAGAAGCATTCAGCCAGCTGTAAATTGAAATTCCAATTAAATTTTTAATACTGGAAATGTTAATAGTTCTTCAATGCAATAAACATGTTTTAGTTTGAAACTTCTGAAATTTGTACTGTACATTGACATTTTGGCAAGAAAGGAGTTAAATTGGGGAATTTTAACTTTCTAGGGGGGCACTTTGGAAACCCTAAGTTCAATACAATAAAAATCTGAGGATAAGATCTTTTATTACTCGGTTGACATGCTGAATACATGTACACTGTACATGTACATAGAGTGCACCCCATTTCCAAAGGTGGTCAGAAAGTTGATGTCCAATGATACAAAATGTATCTCAGTTCTCAATTACTAAATAAAGTCGATTCCTAAAATGCATATTTAAATGTTCAAATTATATTTCCTCATATATTAGGGCTTATGCCAGTCAAGGTTAATAAAGATTCAAATAAATTCCACTTTAATTTTCTTTTTCAGTTGTAAAGACTTGTCTCCTGTTATAATACTACTTTTGTATCAGTATCAATGAGAAAATTGGGCCCCCATTAGAGATTCATAAAAGGACTCGGACTCGAATTTGAAGCTTAGCAATTTCCTGAAGACAATGCCCTAGATAATCAAGCCTATGTACATGTATATGACAAACCTACCCCAGGGATTTCCAGAGTAAAATGGGAAGGGGAATAGACCAGTTCTGTGTGTGGTAAAAACCTACTTTGCTTGAATAGGAGACTATAGGAGCAAAACAATTTGTTATAAGCTGAGGACTGAATGGGGGAAAACAAAATCACATCAGAAAACCATTTAGATTTTTGAGTTATACCTTTTGTCCCTAGAATGGGTCATATCTATGGTTTTCCCAGTTGTTTTAAGCATTTCTCATCCAGACAAAATTCTTGTACTGTACAGTTT